GTCAGCCCTGTACCCTAAAAGTTTCCTTCAAGTGAAATGATAAAACATGAGGGGCTTCTTGAAGAAGAAAAGATGTAAGGTGTAAGGGTGGGCATTTATCTATGAAGAGTGTCATACAGGCAGGGGTGTGTGTTTGAAGTGAGGAGAAGGTCATATATATGGATGTATTGAAGGGATGTGTGTGTACATGAGTTTCTCAGATTCTATCTGAAACAAAGTGATGAATCTCATATTCTGTTATAAAACCAGTTTGTTTTTTTTTTGTTTTGTTTTGTTTTGTTTTGTTTTGTTTTGTTTTGTTTTTTGACAGAGTTAGTGAGAGAGAGATAGAGAGAAAGGTCTTCCTTCTGTTGGTTCACTCCCCAAATGGCTGCTACGGCTGGAGCTACGCCGATCCGAAGCCAGGAGCCAGGTGCTTCTCCTGGTCTCCCATGTGGGTACAGGGGTCCAAGCACCTGGGCCATCCTCCACTGCCCTCCCGGGCCACAGCAGAGAGCTGGACTGGAAGAGGGGCAACCGGGACTAGAACCTGGTGCCCATATGGGATGCCGGCGCCGCAGGCGGAGGATTAACCAAGTGAGCCATGGCACCAACCCCATAAAAGCAATTCTAATCATATGAAGTTTACTTTGTGATGTAATACATTTCATTTCAGAATAAGATGTGTCTTAAATGTCCAGTGATACTTACAGCTTTCTCAAATCTAGAGTAAGGGAGATTAGAGTCCTTAACGTAACTCATGTTTTACCCTGACAACCTCTGAGCTCTGTCTCTCATACATGAACTGCCTTCATGATGATTTTGATCATTTGTTTGGTACCACTGCCAACTAACAGACCAAAGAGGGAAAATTTCTGGTTTCATAATCAAGTGATGTTTAGGAACAGAACATAAAAACTTACCTCACCAAAGTAAGTGAGACAGTAAATGTTTTATGCTTTTGTTTTTTTAATTACCAGGTTTCTATCTCTGGGAACATATTTTTGAAGGCTTTCTTCAACCCACTGAAGTGACCTCTCAGTGGAGAGAAGGAAAGTTGAGTTTTGGAAGAACACATTTCAGGTATTAATTGTGTAAAGTTAATCTTTGATGTGTTGCTATGCAATATTTTATGTAGGTACTACAACAAGAGTTAGAAAATATATTAAATATTTCCATTTTATATATTTCATGAGAAATATTTCATGAGACTTAACTCTCATGAGTATATGTTTACAGTTAAAGCTTATTTGAATATTTTCTTATGAAATTGAATGCTGCAAAAATACTCCATTTTTGAATCATGTGTCTTTCATTTTTATCTGATTATATGGAAAAGTTATGTTCTATGTATTTTAACATTTGGTGAGAAGAATTTTAACATCCCGTATTTTGGAGAAATAATATGGAAGCCTAAAAGCATTTTGATTTTTCTCTTTCCTATATTAGTCATATTTACTTTTTCTTTTTAATATTTAATAATTGTGCATATTTATGGGATACAGTGTGATATTTTAATACATGTGTATAATGTGTATAATGTTTTTATCTCCTTACCATTTCTTTATGTTTGGAGTTTTTAACTCCTCTTTTCCTGCCCCTTGAGTTGATTTCATATCTTGGCTGTTGTGAATACTGCCTCAATAAACATGGAAGTAAAAGTATCTCTTTGATATGCTAATTTTATTTCTTTTGCGTTTATACCCATAAGTGGGATATCTGGATAATATGGTAGATCAATTTTTAGTTTTTAAGGAGTTTCCATATTCTTCCTCACAATAGTACTAGTATACATTTCCACCAACATTGTTTTAAGTTTCCTTTTCTCCACATCCTTGTTAGCATTTGTTTTTTGATAATAGCCATTGTAACTGGAATGAGGTGATATTTCATTGTGGTTTTCATTTATATTTTCCTGATGGCTAATGGAGCATTTTCTCATATACTTGGTGGCCTTTTGTGTTTTTCCTTCTGATAAATATCTATTCAGATCACTTACATGTAGTTAAATTGGATTATTTTTCAAGTTTCTTAAATTCTGAATATAAATCTTCTGTCAGATTAATAGTTTGTGAATATTTTATCCCATTCTGCAGGTTGTCATTTGTTATGCAAAAGCTTCATAGTTTGATCCCATTTGTCTATTTTTGCTTTTGTTGCCCATGCTTTTGGGGTCTTATCCCAAAAATCTTTCTCTATACTGATTTTTTAAAAATTGTTTGTTTTGAGGCTGGCATTGTTGCATAGCAGATAGAGCCACTGCCTGCAACCTTGGCGGCCCATGTGGGTGCTGTTTCGAGTCATCTACTCCACTTCTGATCCAGCTCCCTACTAATGGCTTGGGAAAGCAGTAGAAGATGGCCCAAGTGTTTGGGCCCTGCACCCACATGGGAGACCTGGAAGAAGCTCCTGGGTCCTTGCTTCAGACTGGCTCACCCCTGGGCATTACAGCCATTTGGAGAGTGAACCAGTGGATGGAAGACTTCTCTCTCTGCCTCTGCCTCTGCCTCTGCCTCTACCTCTCCGTAATTTCACCTTTCAAATAAATAAGTAAACTTTTTTAAAAAATGTTTATTTTCATGTACTTGAAAGGGAAAATAGCAGAAATCTTCCATCCTTCACTCTCCGAATTCCTTCAAAAGCCATGCGGAAGCCGGAAGCCTGGAACTCCATCCAGGCCTCCCAAATGGGTGGCAGAGATGTAAACATTTTAGCTATTATCCACTACTTCCCAGGATGTATTAGCAGAAAGTTTGATCAGAGACAGTGCAGCCAGGACTCAGACTGGCACTCCAGTATAGGAAGTGAGCATCACAAGAGGTAGTTTAACAAGCAGTGCCACAGTACATACTTCTGTATTGATGGTTTGAAGTATTTACCCCATGTGTTCTTCCAGTGGTTTCATACTTTCTGGTTTTACAGTTCCTTGGTCCATTTTTAATTGACTGTTGCATAGGATGAGAGATACAGTCATCAAACTTCAGCCTTTCTTACATGAATATCTAGTTTTCCCAACACCATTTATTGAAGACACTGAAACACCAAGTGTATCAGTTTAGTACTTTATGAAAAATCATTGGGCTGTAGATGTGTGGGTTTGTTTCGGGGATCTCTGTCCTGTTCCATTGGTCTGTGTCTGGTTTTATGCTAATGCTATGCTCTTTTGTTTACTGTATCTCTGCACTAGGTCTGGAAACCAAGTATTGCAGTGTGCCCACCTTTGTTATTTTTATTCAATATTACTTTGACTATTTGGAGTCTTTTGTGTTTCCATATGAATTCTAAGGTGGTTTTTCCTAATTATGTGAAGAATATCATTGATATTATTATAGGATCACATTGACTCTGTAGATTATTTTGGTTAGTATGTACATTTTAGCAATGTTAATTCATCTAATCCATGAAAATGGGAGGTCTTTCCATTTTTGTGTGTGTTGTCTTCGATTTCTTTCATTAGTGTTCAGTAATTTTCATTATTTAGGTCTTTCACTTTCTTAGTTAAAATTATTCCTAGATTTTTTTTTCAATGTCTAGTAAATGACATGGCTTTAAAAGATTCCTAAGAAGTTCATTATTAGTATATAAAAATCCTACTGATTTTGTTTGTTGATTCTGTATCCTGCAACTTTACTGATTTGTTTTTATCAATTCTAATTGTCTTTTAGTAGACTATAGTCTTTTAGGCTTAAATAGTCTTTTAGGCTTTTCTATGTATAGAATCATACTATCTACAAACCAGGACACCATTTTACTTCTCCCTACCTGTTTAATGTCTTATATTTCTTTTTCTGGGCTAATGACTATAGGTAAGTAAAAGCAGTGAGAGTGGGCATCCTTTTTTTGTTCCCAATTTTGAAGGAAATGATTGCAGCTTTTCCCCATTCAGTATGATGTTGGCTGTGAGTCTGTCCTAGGTAACCTTTATTGTAATGAGATTGTAATTCTTCCATATGTGTTTTGCTTAGGGTTTCTATCATGAGAGGTTGTTGAATTATATCAGATGCTTTCTCTGCAACTATTGAAATGATTATATGATTTTTATACTTCATTCTGTTGATGTGTTGTATTAACATTTGCTTATTTGCATATGTGGAAACATCTCTGCATCCCTGGGATAAGTCTCACTTGATTGTAGTGAATGACCTTTTTGAGGTATTGTTGGATTTGATTTGTTAATATTCTTCTGGGGATTTTTGCATCCATATTCATCAGGAATATTGACTCTAATCTTCTTTTGTGTGTTCTTGCCTCATTTTGGTATCAGAATAATACTGGCCTCCTATAATGAGTTTGAAAGAGTCTCTTCCCTTTTCCTTTTTTTGAATAGTTTCAGAAGGATTGGTGTTAGTTCTTCTGTAAAGGTTTGACAGAATTCAGCAGTGAAGCCATCTGGCCTGGCCCTTTCATCATTGGAGATTTTGTTTTTTATAGTTTCACATAATTTAGTAGCAAACTTGCAGAAACAGCACAGAAGACAGATAACATTAAAAACAGGTACTTAGATATAGGACAGTTCAGAAATGTATAATGAGTGGATGGAATCTACCATATGGAAACAGTGGTGCAAAAACCAGTTAGTTGCCATCAATAAGAAATTTACTTGTTTAAAAAAATGTAAATGCTGGTGTTGTCCAGGAAAGGTTAATGCACTTGCTTACAACTACAGCTAAACTGAACTGATAAAACTTGTTCACTGAAACATTTTGATTTGCATTAATGTTTTACATCCCCACATTTATATTAAAAATCCACACACAAGTGAAAATAGAAAAATTGCCCATACTGATTTCTGTCTAAAAAACAAAACAAAAGAAAACTCGCAGTCATATACTTAGGTACCTTTTGACCCATGGAAAAGATATAAAGACATTCGTAACTATCAATAACAGGAAGAAGAGAAAAAAAAATTTCTTTTTTTGAGAATGAAATGTTTCCCCTCATAGTGGATTTTTATATAAATTTTTCATTTATATAAGGTGAACAAACTTCATATATTTAATATATACATATTTAGGAGCATAATGATACTTCCCATGCACACTCGCACCCTCCCTCCTTTCTTTCTTAATCCTTTCAATTTTTATAGTGATGTACTTTCGGTTTATTTTATAATCATAAGTGTAACCCTCCATTAAGTAAAAAATTCAACAAATGGAAGAAAAACACTGCTCCTCAACAGTAGAGACAAAAGCTATACATACACATACGGTATTTGTCTCTTGGGGACTGGCATATTTCACTATGCATAATGGTTTCCAGTTGCATTTATTTTGTTGCAAAAAAACAGGATTTCATTTTTTTTATGGCTAAGTAGTATTCCATAGTGTATATATCCACATTTTCTTTACCCAGTCATTGGTTGATGGATATCTGGGTTTATTCCATATCTTAGCTGTTGTGAATTGAGCTGCAATAGACATAGGGGTCATAGGGTAGATCAGTTTTCAGATTTCTGAGGTAGTTCCATACTGTCTTCCACTTTGACTATACTAGTTATTCCCACCAACAGTGGATTAGGGTACCTTTTTCCCCAAACCTCACCAGTATTTATTGTTTTTTGATGTTTTTGATGTCTGTCTAACTGGGATCATAGTGGTTGCTTTTTGTTTTTTGTTTTTCTTGACAGGCAGAGTTAGACAGTGAGAGAGAGAGAGAGAGACAGAGAGAAAGGTCTTCCTTTTTCCATTGGTTCACCCCCCAAGCGGTTGCTACGGCTGGCGTGTTACAGCCGGCGCACTGCGCCGATCTGAAGCCAGGAGCCAGGTGCTTCTCTTGGTCTCCCATGCGGGTGTAGGGCCCAAGGGCCTGGGCTATCCTCCACTGCACTCCTGGGCCACAGCAGAGAGCTGGACTGGAAGAGGAGCAACCGGGACAGAATCCGGCACCCCAACTGGGACTAGAACCCAGGGTGCCGGCACCGCAGCCAGAGGATTAGCCTAGTGAGCCGCGGCGCTGGCCAGATCATAGTGGTTTTGGTTTGCATTTCCCTGATAGCTAGTGATCCTGAGCATTTTTTCATGTGTCTGTTGGCCACCTGAGTTTCATCTTTGTGGATTCTTAAGCACATTCCATGGATATGTGGC